TTCTTAAAGATAAATTTATAAGATAAAATTCTTTTTACAAAAAAACAAAAATAGCTGTGAACATTATAAAAAATATATATTACATTTACAAAAACATTGTTAAAAAATATAGAAAACGTAATAATAAGGGCCTCTGATAATACAACATATCAATAAAAATTACAAATACTTGTTGCATGGAAGTCAGGGTGATAAACGGTGCTCGGTTCTAATAACAAAAAATTTTTTAATGATTCAATAAATTAGGACACATATACATACATAATTAAAAAAAGAGATGCAAGAGTTTATAAACCATATTTTTAAACTTTTGCGATATTAATTATATTGTGCTCTAATTTATCATTATAAAGTTTTTAATGTGTAATAAAAAATTATAAACAAAATTTTTATTATTGTAAATGACGAGAACAACATACTGCAAGTATAGAATCAATTGCTTATAACTTTCATAAAAATATTGTGTGTGTTGATCGCAAAAAATTCTTTCTCAACCAATATACCCGATATTAAAGAACATAACAGTACTAAACGAATGTATCTTCATCGATCAAAGTTATAAACAAAAAGCATTGGAAGTTATAGCAATAAAAACGCATTAAGTGATGATTAAGGGTTCATTTTCATTGTTATGTTGTTAAAGAATATTAAGAAAGAAGTAATAATTCTTTTTCATGTCGATTTATCTCTCGTACTGTTTACTATATATTGAATTTAATTCCTTCAGATCTATATAGCGTATTGTAATGTGCATCAAGTTTGAAGACATCATCCATTAAAATTATTTAATTCTATTGATTTCGTCTAATGTAATAATAAATATGCTGAAAAAATAGTTATTAATAAGTAATCAAAATTTTGAAAAAATTAATTGCTTAGTATAAATGACTTATTAAAGGAACATAAAATAAAATAAAAATAAATTTTAATAGTTCCAATACAATCAGGTTTGAAGGGGTTAACTTGAGATGTACCGTTACTGCAAATATAGAAATTTATCAAACGAGTTAAATGGTATTCTGGCGGATAGGAACTTTTTGTCTAGCATTTATCTAACTTGCAATATAACAGCGCGCGATAATGCCGACCACAGTAAGTTAATGATATGAATGCGTATATGACTCGCATGAACCACAACGGTAGCATTAGCCGATTAACGACCGGATTGTGCTGGTAGCGGCACGCTCCTAAGCAACCAGCTACTGTTCATTATTGAGGACATTCAACGCCACAGATTAAAGAGTCGACTAAATAAAAAGATTTTGCGAGCTTATTTTACGAATGAATTGCATGCCGTTGACTATAATTCGCAAGGAAGAACTCAATTGCAAATATCTTGTCCTATAAGTTGTACAGTGCTTGTAAAACTTGACAACTTATATCGCGTATACATTTGCAACTTTCATGATCCCTCACCGGTCGTGTATTAAATAATTCCAACAAACTCAATTATAATTTTATATATATTATTTGTGTCATCGAGTGATTAACCGTAAATCCCGCGACTACTCAATCGCGATCGCTCAATAGCAGTGTATCGATTTTCGTTTCTTCACGCCACACGGCACGCGAAACAAGAGGGTACACGTTGGGGTTTTAATAATGCCGGGGGAGTCGTGACTATTGTTCAAGGGATCGATTACGGCCGGCGTACATTACAATGATCCAGAATACTCCACAAGTTTGCAAGTGCGTAAAAAATTTGTGTGCGTTAAAAAAAAAATCCTTTTCTTTTTCAATTCCTCTCTCTCTTTCGTGCGTGTGCGTGCTTTTTTTTTTAAATTCTTTTACCGGGTATGGTCTCTATGTCTGGCAGGCCCATGGTTTGCACTTTGCGCCGCGTAACTTGCAGCCGACTGACCGCCAGGTAAGCGGGCATGCTCATCGGCGCGGCGCGGTCGCGTTCAAGCCGGCCACGTATCCTAGCAACTGGAAATCAATTTCTAATGGCAACATGCGCTACTGCCTTCTTTAAAGCTAAAGAACGGGAGCAATTTTTGACGGTCTCGAAAATGGCCAATTTTGTCGGGCAGTTTTAATTCTTCTGATTCTCCAGAATTGACGTCAAAATTTGTAACACGGTTATTGACACTGGATCTGCATAAGATTTATTTGTTGATTAAAAGCACTAATTAATGCGAAAAAGTCAAATTAATATATCTTGTATAAAAAAAATAAATACTCAATATCTTTTTGTAAAAAGATATAGGATCCATTTGATTTATGTTAATTTGAGATATTAATGAATCATAAGGAACCAAAAATAACTTGTATAAAAACAAATGAATACTTAATCTAGCAAATACTAAATTATGTAACGTATCTTGTTAGTTTCCATATGACAAGTTGATGTTCACTCAAAACAATGATCTTGAAACTATAGCGAAAATTATCTAGATACAAAAAGTCTGCTAAAATAGATATTATATATTTCTAGCAAGTACTGTGATATTGGATATGTTTTCCATCTAATCATATAGATGACGGATATATACAATTTAGATTTTTGCTATAAATTCTATGCGTATGATTTTTTATCATATACAAAAAAACAGCGATAATTTTAGCCGACGCAGCAACATTTTTTTACGTGTTATTTATCTTTATTTTTACGAAAAATAATAACAAAATAATGACAAATAATATTGGTCTGCTACTTGGATGCAATTTTCCATTTAACAATATAATATACATATAACAACATGTGTGTCTTATATTACAGACATTACAGTATATTGTTGAGTGAAAAATTACAACTATAATGATACGAAATATGAAACTTGATGCTTGCTAGGAAAAATATAAATATTTAACAAGAATAATGTAAATTTGCCAGCGTAATAGAAAAATAAATTAAATTGTTTGACATTTTTGATAAAGAGATTTATAGCGACATATTTATTTTAACGAGGTTTTTAAAACGTTTCACAGTAGTCGGCCATGGACAAATTTTTGTGAATATCAATGATATATTTTCGGAGGCCGGGGATAATAGAAGAACATTGACATTACCGATAATTGATACATATTTGCGATTTTTAATATGCATATATAATCAAACTCAGATAATAACATTAAAATCATATAGTTTTAAATAAAAATCAAAATATTATTAATAAGTTTTAATGTCTGCAAAGTCGGCTGTCTTTAATAGTCATATCGATTCAGGCGTCTCATTAAATTTTTATTGTTAATGTCGCGTTTGACGTATAGGTAGCGCTGGCATCACGTGACTGCGGCAGCTGTCGCAGTCGCGTCGTTCGATGTATATCGCGTGTTGGTCACGTAGGCTGGCTTTCTATCAATTGCTTGATAAAATTGAATTATTTTCAGTGTTTATTATCGTAAGTTCGCGAATTACTTATTAATTAGTGCAACGATTATCGTGGAATTTGCTGGTGCGAGAAATATTAGTAGGTACGAGAGAATCTTTCCACTGTCAGTTCTTATCACGTTTCTAACCTTGTTTCTCTAATGTTCTACACGCTACTTCGTATTTTGAATGGCATATGATTAATTTGCTGCGTATAATGTTTAAAATATTGATAAGCTACATCAGACTAAGCTACTAAGAACGAAAGCACGAGATATTATCTCAAAAAATGTTGTATAATCTTTAAACTGATATTTTTTTTGTATGTTTATGTTGTGTTTATTGTCATTATAATACTGTCACTAGTTTTTTATATTCTGTTTTTCTGTATTTAAGGTTTGTCGTTTAGAAGCTAAGCTAATGTGACATTGAAGATGGCTGATGCACCATCAGTCACAGAAAATATGGAACCAGAAAAACAGGATGATCTTATGAAGAATTATGAATTTGATGGACAAACGTATATCTATACTGATAAGGCGACGAATATTACTTATAAATTTGATCAAGAGAATAATAAATGGATTGTGAAAGAAGATGATAAAGTGAGCTCCAACAGTAAGAAAAATTCTGAAACGGAAAAGAAGAAAGAATCTGGTCCTGAAACTGATGCAGCTGAAGCTTTTGGCTTTGAGAATGATACACATACTTATACAGATCCAAATGATGGCAGTGTATACTTCTGGGATAAAGAAAAAAATGCCTGGTTTCCGAAAGTTGATGAGGATTTCATGGCTAAGTATCAGATGAGTTATGGCTTTACGAATACGGATACACCACAACCAGAATCTCCAGAGCCAAAGCAGCCTCAGCCTGTTCAGAAAAGCAAAGAAGAAAAGGAGCAGAGAAGAGTAGAAGCCAAACGGAAAGCTCAAGAACCACCGACTTGGTTTGAAGTCGACGAGGCTCATAACACCGCTATCTATGTATCTGGCCTACCTTTGGATATTACCATAGAAGAACTCACCCAACTCTTCACCAAGTGTGGCCTCATAGCAAGAGACGAAAGAGGAAAAGATAAGATCAAACTATACAAAGACGGCAATGGAGAACCAAAAGGGGATGCTCTTTGCACCTATATCAAGGTAAGAATGTATGTCTTATGATTTAATTTATATATACGTTGACAGAATTTGTCCTCAATTTGTGCTTTTAATGTCGTTGGTAATGTTGCATCATAAAAATGGATATATCAGTATTTTATTATACATCGTTAAATACAGAATATATCGAGAGTATATCGATATCTATGTTGATATATTTACAGACAAAGCAATGAAAAAAATAACGAACACAAGAATGGATCAAAAAATAAAGATATCTCTTGAAGAGTTTCGTTTTACTTTTTAACTAACTATCTGACTGCAATTCATTTATAAAAATTATGCACTATGATTAGCATAAATGAATATCGCCATAATATAATTTAATTAATTACTAAGTGATAGTTATAATTACTTATTCAATTCGCATTTTCCTCGCGATATAGTAACAAGCATCGACAATGTAAGATTTTTAAGTCAGTACATAAATTATTCGGGCATTACATTTCAATCGTGCGAGATATTGTTCAGTAAAATAATCACTGTGAACTAGAAAAAATATAGAGAGACAATGATTAATTTACGGTAATGATATTACAATATATAATAGATAAGTACACACTGAGAATATTTGGATGTCAGTAACAGTATCGAGTGCGATGTCTACAATATTCTGACTACAACATCTCAATAATTAGTACATCTCAATAGTTCTTCTATTTAGAATGTTCAGATTATTCAATATTTGGACAGAGGAATCTCAAGGAATATTTCGAGATTAGCTTTAATTGTGCTAACTTTTCATGGTTTGCAAAATTAATTTTTACAATAACAGCCACAAATAATATAAATTATAATAAAATAACGCTGGCAGTTTAACAGTGTCGTTGTAATGAAAGTTTATCTTTCAAGTGGGTTTTTTTAGATGCGTACATTATGTAACGGAACAGTAATAAAGCTGCAATTATATAATTATAATTATTGATATAGTGATTCAAATTTTTCTTTCACGGCTTCAATAAAATCTCCTCCCGCGCGAAGTCATTTATTTTATTATGGAACTGCGAAAGAACGTTGTTCATATCTGCTAGATTCTGAGATTGATGGTATCCGTTGGCTAAAAATGCGCCATATTCTCGTCCTTGTGGTAATACTTGGGCAACTCTTGGTACAGTTGATTGCACACGGGTTCTATTTGAATGATGTCGTGTGCGCTCTCTGGGCATCATCTTCACGCTGTCAAAAATTATTGTAAGAAAATTATCAATTACAGAAAATTTTAATAGCTAAGTGTATATATTCTTAAAATTGTTTATATACTTTTTATGTGTTTTCTTAAAAATTTTCAAGACATATTTTATATTAAATATAGTTTAATATGAAGGTGTTAATACTTAGAAGGTGGTCGCGATCCTAGTTTGACACCATGAGCCCATTGTTGACTCTCTCCTTGATCTAACCAATTTCTTCTCGAATTTGCTCGATTCTTCTTTCTTTCATCTGGTTTCCTCTGTTCATCTGAGTACTTTTTGCCCTTTTTTCTAGGCTTTAATCTTTGGTTTTGCGGCGCGAAGGGGTCTTGAGACTTCTTGCGTCTTCTGGCTGAAAAAGCCAAAATATCGTAGATAAAATTCGTTACATTTATATCAGTAAAGTTATGAAAGCTTTTTCTACTGAATATTTCGAATACGTTTCTCACCTAAACGGCCGGCGGGTACTTCGCATATATAATGCTTCCGTTCCATACAACTCCTTGCACTCCACTTATATTTCAAGACGGGATCCATTATGATACAGTGCCATGCATACTTCTTGGATCTCCCGGGTTCCATTTTCCCGAAGCTCTGGAAAACCATCTTTTCACCTGTTACACCCCATTCCCAAGCCATTTGTTGCCAGTTGAAAATTCCTCCGATCCATCGCTCCAATTTTGCTGTTGATTTATAAATTTAGGTAAAAATTGAATGATGTAACAATTAGACAGAGAAAGAATAGCTTGTACTCACTAAATTGATCCCCCATTAGGTATTTCCTCAGCATCTTGTCTTTTCCGTTTCTGTCCAATATTGCTAAAGTGGCATTTCTGTCCTTGCAATGAAAGTGCGCCTCTCTCCATGGTGCCGTACCGGCGCTCAGATAATAACAGAATCGTTTCAGTCGGAAGAATCCCACGGGGCATGCGAATCTTCTCACGGGTTCATGCTGTCGCAACGTTATGGATTGATTAGTCAAAGGACTAATATCAAAGTTTGGCGCTTCCAAAACGGCCGAGGATAAACCTAAAAGAAAAAATAAGTCACGTATGAATAATTTCATCATATTTCGTCAAATTGTAAAAGTTTCATTTTTTTGGGTATTCAGAACTATATTTTATAAGGAAAATTACTCGGTCTAATTAGTTTTGAAAAAAAAGTAACGGTTAGAAATTATAGTGTCCTGCCTCTTATTAACTAAAATGAGTGCCATTCGTTCGGAAAATTTGATATTCATTAGAAGATCGGAGTCAAAGTTTGCTATAAGCTGCTCCGAAAATGAATTTATATTTTTTCGTCAATTTTTACTTTTTTGGATTTTTTTACGTATGAGTGGAATAAAAAGGAAACTTGGGTCTCGATTAATGGTGGGTGTTGAACATTTTTGGAAAAAATAAGCGGAGTTCTGGTTGCTCCTAAAGAGTTCTAGAGTTCTCATTAGTTTCAGAAAGAGTTCCATCGATTAAATCGATGAAAACATTGCTGAATTAATTTACTTACGATAATTCCAATTTTATATAGCTTCATTCAATCGATTCAAATTAAAGGCAAAAAGTGATCAATTTTTTCATGATAAAGATGACAAGTTGGCGCTATATAAAAATTGGTATTATATACAAGTTGGTGTTACATATATACAAGGATCTCTTGGGATAAACTTCAGGAGACGGTACATTTTTTACCGAAAGAATCAACTTAATCCTTTTTAACTTTTGTTAAGAAACCCGTTTTATCCAACATATTTTTAAGAAGCTACGTGTCCTTGTTTGGATCGGCTGTAAGGTACGCAATCGATCGTACGGCAGCATATTATGCGTGACAATACTAGTCCACGTTCTTGCTTTTTATCTCTTTTTGCAAAAGCAAAGGACGTGAACTAGTATTGTCAGACATCACGTGCGTGCGACCGGACCATGTAGCTCCTTATAAATGCATCGGACAATACAGGTTCCTTAAAAAAAATCTTTTGTGAGATCTACCGTCCTCTGAAGTTTAGAGCTCCTGAAACACCGAGTATTTACGATCTTACTTTTTAGTGGTCAGAATTCTTTTTAAAATATATTAGAAACTTTAGAATTTTTTTGAAGAAGAGAGCCAGCAATTTGTAAATTATATTGAAATACTAGAAATAAGATATAACTAACTTCACGAAGATGTATTCGATTTTTGAAATTTTCTTGAATCAGTAATTTTCAACAGTTATATTTTGGCACGAATTTTATATTTTGATAAATCTCACTACTTTGAAATGCATATTTTTATCTTTTTTTTTACTTGCATAATTTATGCACATAATTCATGTGTTCCAAGTGAATACATTTTTGTTTCGTGGCCTTGAACGGAATTTAAACATTATGTAATGCCGTCTGCGGTTCAAGCGTGACTAGGCGCCACACCATTGCATAGTCGAGACATACGAGCATTATCGATCATTAAATTGTTGAGCATTGTTTCGTAAAATAGGTTATTTAATCCTCCGCCTCGTATGACATCAGATTCGCAGTGTTCTCTGGTTTATCATTAAAATGTAAATGTCCTATTTCGAAGACACACCCGCGTTTCATTGTGCGACTTCTGTAAACTTATAAATCATGAATTTTATCTTTGTATTCATATGTATTCGTCTCAGGTGTATATTTACGCGACATTGTAGACTTTACTTATCTGGCAAGAAAAAAAAGGGAAAGAAGCACATTATATTCGACTTTTATTAAGGAAAAAAATCAACTTTATTCATTACAATTTTAACGATTTACCTGCGAAAGATTCGATTGATTCGATCGATTGAAATGTTTAAGGCGTGACAGATCCTTCGGATGAAACAGACCGGCATAAATAGAGCAGCTTTCTACGATAACGATATGCGATATATTGATGTACGCATACAATAGGCACCAAACAATAGTTATCTATAATTGAAATGCCAGATTGAAAATGCATTAACAAAGATTTAAAATACAAATGATTCAAGAGATTTTAAGAATCTTGTAATTTTCGTATCTCAGAAGGTTTAACAACTTCGAGAAGAGGATGTATAATTCGCGATTTAATTCTACGAAAGATTGTAGTGGAAGGGTTTATCCAACAGGTGTGTGCCAACGTTTATTACAAATTAATGTAACTGTTACGAAAATTTATATAAACGGTGTGATACGTTGGAAATGATTATTTCTCATATGTGTCCAATTAATTACTCAAAGATCCATCTCCGTGAGTCATCGTCGCGTAGACAAACCTTGTGGCGCGCATGTCACATAAATTCCATTTATGATACACAACTAGTATCGTATGACTGTTAATAAATACCAGAGATTTAACCTTTCCGCCCGCAGGCTTCCAATATGGAAAACACATTCTTGTTCGCACGACAATTATACATGTGGAAGAATCAAACGCTTCTATCAAACTCGTAGATATCTAACTCACAGAGCAATTTCTAGCGTGGATAAATCGATGAGGTAAACAAATTGAAATAAATAGAAAAAGGATATTAGGCCTGTAATAGCCTTTTACTAAATCGTAAATCTGCTCAAATCGGAATAACGTAATCGTTTAATATCACGATATCAGTTTTGACCTCGATAATAAATGACGCGAGGTTATTGAATTGGAAAGCAATTTTAGTTGCGTATTCTTTTTTCTGTTTTTTTATTACCTTCGTAATGAGCAAAAAGAAGAAATAGGCTAACGTGAAATTACGAAACACCCATAAAAATAACACATTAAAACTGCTTACTTTTGCAAGTCAGGATTGAACGTATGATAGCGCATTCGACATTTTCTATTCCGTGAAATTACGATTTTGTGCACTTTTTTGACAAAATCATTATTTAAATTGCTAGAAGCGCAAATAATATTTTATTTATTCTAAATATAGTTTTAAATTTATGTTATGTAGTAGTTTTTGAATGGATATTTAATCGCTGACAGTAGAATTTTGATATCAAACTCTATACGTATGTACAAATATGATATATAGACCGCAGATGTAAAAGGATCAGTATCAGATGGTTAATCGATTAGTTAATGCCTGAAGTGCATATTAAAGCGATTGGACTGAAAACCTGTTCGAAGTGGTCAAATGCACATTTACACATAAAATTTACACATCAAAATTCTACGAGAACTGGTTTCTACGAATAATAAAAACCAATAGCACTGTCAACAGTTCCACGCCTCTTAATTACAGAGTGATCAGTTTTAGTTAGTCATTGACTGAATGTATGTATTGCGCTTGTATTAATTTGAACGAGCTTTGTAATTTTGCGGAGGAAAGCTTCAATCCTGGTTAAAATAATTATAATTAGTTGATTAACATAATAATAATTATTATTATAAAATGTTTTTATTTAAGAGCATTGTAATTTATTATAAATTTTCCGAAATATCCTTTGCCAGAATTTACTACGTGTTTAGTTGCACGTGAATTTGCAAACTATGTAAAAGTTTGTTGCAGCTTTGGACGCCGCAATATATGACTTGTTTTAAAATATGAGACATAACAAACGAGATGGGCAGCGCATATGTTGCATATTTCATTTCAGCAGGAAATTCAGGTTCCGAGAGGCTGTATTTAAATCTCTAATGTGAAAATTCATTCTAGTTTCCTAGTTTTTGCAAAATGTAATTTGATACGAGTTTGAAATTAGATTTTTTACGTTTCAAATTTTACTTAAAAATTAAATAAAAAAACTTTCATCAGAGTTTATTTTTCTTAGAAGCATTATATTTATGAGTGTCAGAAATAATTTTTTTCTTGATTTGTGGACCTTACTGTAATATATACTTCTTATCACAGGTGCGCGAACTGCTGCTTGATACTAAAATAACTTTTGCGTTAGCGGCAGAAAATACTGTGGAAGATAACGGCAGCTTATTCGCATAAGTATTCAACCATATAGGAAGTCACGTAAAGAATTTTTTCTATTTATGGATGAATTATAGATATATAATCGTTTTTTGTTTAGAATTGATATTGAATTCCTAAATGATTGATGTTCTTATTGAAGATAAAAAAAATACATAATATATGAAAAAATACCAAATAGGTACAACGTCATTTTTGTTAGCGAATTTACACGAACATGTAAATATACTGTCACGTAGTTATGAATTGCAAATATTACGGGTCATAGTCGATAAACTCGTATAAACATCTAATGTGTGCTCTAAAGCTAGTTAAAAATTCCTTAAAGTTAAAATTGTAGTTGAAGTTGATAATACTCATTTATACAGCATCCATTATCGAAAGCGTTGTACGATTGTATTAGATTCTTCAAAGAAAGGTTTCGCGAGTTATTCAATATTTTTAAGCACATCTAATCGATTGATACCGATAGTCGCAACAGGAAATTATATTTATGGTGTATATCTGCCTACAACTTGCACTTTCATTCATACAACGTTTATGGCACAAGGCTAAACCTCGGTCGCTGGGTGGACATTCTTCTCATATTTCCAGAATTTATCGTCACTTTCACGAATGCACTGCTATTACCTGTAATTGGTCAATTAACTTTTGATTTTTATTCATCACGTTGTCAAAGAGAGTTAATTGATTCAGGTGAATACTAAAATTTTATTCGTCATAAATCATAAGGATTATGATCATTCGACTATAACTAATCGTTGAATAATTACATCATTTTTATTATGCAATAAAGTTTTATTAAATTGTATGATCAATGTGACATACATATCTTTATAATGATTATACCATTGATTAATTTTGAGTTTTCCAGTTTGTACGACCGTAAGCACTCTACGTTTGTTGTATTCACAACTATTCTCGCCACATATCTGATTTGATGGTAACCATTCTGCTGGTATCGTTTCCGCCTAGATGCAATCTCGCGAAAATAAATCGTTACATCTGTTCAGAAACTACATGACTGTTGGACTAGGATATATGTTTCGATCGTTAACATATTCGCGGTTTCCATCAGAAAATGCACGGTAAAATATGCGCGTCCCAAAACTGTCTGCGCAACATTTCACCTGTAAGCAACGTTTAATCTTACGTGCAGAAATTTCACATACGTTTTATATAAAGTATGCATTCTTTAAGGCTCGCTTCAAGCTTTTATCAAACTTTAGTGGAACATTAAAGTCGACTTTCTCAAGAAAAATGTGAATAAAACAACGTCAGATTAAATAGAATTAATAATCTCAAAGCACTTTTCGTAGAATAGGAAATCTTTGTAAGAACATAATATTAGCTTATAGTTCTATAATATATAATAGATTTATATATGCACCAAGTTATTTTTATTTATTCTATATCTGCTGTATTTCTAATTTTTTAGTTAACGTAGAAAATTAGTCGTGTTGTTGGCGATATTATCACGTAATCTTCAAATTCGTGCACATACAATTACACGTTGTGTTATCGTAACTACCGATCTATATTGGAAGTGTCATTAGGCTGCCAATTAGCAAAGCACGTAACTGCTAATGGATACAAACAACTCAATAGTGTTTCTACGTCGAAGATATTTGTTGATGATTACGTTTGAATTATTGTTAACATAATCAATTATATATTTAGTTATATTTGTACAAATTAATATATATATTCCGTTTTATATTAACTTATATTAAGTAATAAATAAATAATAATTTATTATAATTTACCGAAAAATTATAATTTTTTATAAAGAAATTTTCGGTAAATTTATTGTTTATTATAATATAAGTTAATAAAAAACGGATATTAAATTGCACACAATTTAAAAATACTGAATATAACTGAATAATTGATTATGTTTATTATTATAATTCAGATGATTATTTTTAATTGATATACGCTCACATTTCGGCAACAAGCAAAATTACGTAAGATAATAGATTAACCGCAGGTTGAATACAGGTTAATTATATAATAATACCGAATTCTGTGCTATTATGATGGGAATCATAATTGATGAGGGAGGCCGCATCCTGATCCTCTCCTGTTAAACGATCATTTATTACTGTAATTTCGTTGTTTCAATACACAATATGATTCCCAAATATGGTATCCATTGTAAATCTGCGGGTATTTCTGTTTAATGCAATACTTTATTCGGCAAATTTTTAATTACTATAATTCACATTTCAAAAAAACGTATAATCTATTACCTATTATACTTCTCAGATTAATCGCGCGCTGAGGTCTCTCTGTATGTTTACCCACTCACCCGTACTCCGGATCGTCCCTCTCATTGGGATCGTCCGCGATCTGCTTAATCCACTTTGCGCACTTTAAATTTAATTACCTGCGACACACAGAAACAAGGCCCAACACTTCCACATGTCTTCTTCACACGTCTTTTATTCGCCGAGGTACTCGATATAGAAGTCGCAATACTCATGCAGGATCGTCCTCATTCTCGTTTCTTGAACCTCGCCTTGCATCCAATTTCACATATTGATAATCGCAGTTTCGTAAATTCTCAGAGTCGCACGGAGAAAAAAAGGATTGACTTTCGCACCCTTTTTTTTCGAGATCGAAGGTATCTCTATCGCGGTCGATAGGATATACCCAGACTATTCGTCGATCCGGACGATGGGGACCGTTCTTCGACGGAGGTTCGTGGCCGACTGAAGCCGCCGCTTCCATTCCGCTCGGCGCGTACCTTCGCGCGCTCCGAGCTTACGAGCGGAATTCTCTCGCGCCTCCCTATCGCCAGACGCTACTGTGATCCTTTTCCCCGATTCCAAGGAACTACGGATCTGTCGTACACAGAATCTGTCTGGCTTACCCCGATTTCGTCTAAAGTGAGTACGCGTTTCGCGTAGTTATTCATGGAGTAGCTGCGAATTATTCGCGCTTCTGTATATTGTTTATTTTATAAATTACCTTTGAAATAATTTTCTTGTAAAATATAACACATTTCCTAGCGATTCATACATATAATTATTTTTGTCATATTAGTTTATACATTAGAAATTTTCTGTCATCTCCGTTTTATGCAGAAATACCATAGAGTATTCTTAAGTCTGCGTTCTTTCAATATCTGGCGTTTGCCTTGATTAAGACGATTTCGAAATAGCGGAATTTATCGTTGTACATACGAACGCGTACGATTTAATGACTTCTGTTCACGTTTTGCATAATAATCACCAAACCGTCTTAAAACTCAAGGCTATATGAACTTAGCAAGCATAGAGCGTGCGATAATTACGCGTCAACGATATAGGAATTGTTGAACGAACTCAGTGGAACTGCGACGAATACTCGCGAAATGTTTGAGAAACTGCGCGCCAACAAAGCTAAAGTGCCTCAACATTGCATTCAATATCATTATCGTAAAACGGAGCGTAGAATAAGTATTAGTATAACTTTGCAACAAAGTAAGAGAAGATTTTAGACCACTCAATGCTGTGTGTGTGTGTGTGTGTGTGCGAGAGCATTTCATCAGCAATAAAGATTCTGTGAATAATTAGAACAAACGAATTATTATTATTTCATCAAATAATTATACAGAGTAAAAAGGAACATTCAGCATGAAATAACATTATGCAGAAACAGTCGTTTGTTATTTATAGCACTTACAATCTGAAATGATATAGAGAGAAATTAATTAATGCAAAAATTATTCATTAATATTTTTCAATATTTTTGCCCATCGACTTATAATTTCGCTTAATCATTTAATTATGTTTAAATCAGAAGTCAGTTATTACTTACAATGATTATAACTTGTAATTTTAGACATAGAATTAATCAAGCTATATGGAAAAATTATTTTATAATAACTTTCGACATTTTTGTCTATCGATTCTTATAATTTCACTTAATTATTGAATTACATTTAGACGAAGAGTCAGTTATTATTTACAATGACTATATAACTTGTAATTTTAAGCAATGAGAGAATATGCTATCCGCTACTGATAAATTTAATTTATATAGGTATATGTATAATAGTTAACAATGTGCGAGAATACTATGAAAGCGTGACGATCTCAAATTGGGCGTATATACACTTCTAAAATATCATCGAGATGAGATCCACCAGACGAGCGTTTACATTTAGTGGCAGCCTGCCAATTGGGTGCATTAACGTCTATCTGTCCGATAGTATCTTTTGGAGGATTAACGTCTAAATGGCGCTGATTATAATGTAGTAACAGGAATAGTTGGAAATGTCAGCAAATAAATCTAAGATATCACGAGGTTAAAAGCGTAATTTGCCACCGTCTAATCAGATTTTGCGAATCTTAAGCTTAATTATTCCTACCGGCTTATCGCTTAGGAAGATTTCGCTTAGTATGAAAAGTGTTAAATACGGTACGGTACTCGAAAAATGTATGATGTATTCTGAAAATCTGACTATCGCATTACAAATGTCAGAAATGCCGTGTCTGTTCTACTTTATCTTTGAAAAATGCACGGACTGCACATTTGTGATAACTATTATGCACTCCATACGACGCCCTTAGTCGCTATCGTGGTTGCATAATTTAGATAAATCCACGTTTCTCTCCATCTTCGTACGAGAGATAGCTATTTTTGCATACGTCTTGTATCACGCAGTAAATATAAATAACGGTAAGCTTATAATAGATGATGATAATGATTTATATATATATATATATATAATAATATATTATAACTTTTGAATATTGCATGTTCAATCACATTTAAATAATGTATTATACTTAAATATTGGATTGGGGAAAAAAGTTCTTTAACATATATGTTTTTTGTAATTTTTTTTAGGGCACGTGGAAGATCCACAAAGTGAATAGAAAATTTTTCATCTTTTTTAGCTCATAGTTTTTTATATGTAAAAATTACTAAACTTATAGAAACTCAAAAATATAGTAACCTTTTCAAGTAGAGATTTCAAGCTTTAGAAACCTCTTTTCAAATATAAATTTCGTTTATTTTTAACGAAGATGTTGTAAAATGAAGGTCTTTTTACATATAGCAAAAAGAATTTTTCCCTAACACAATATTATGCGTTTAATGTTGGAATTAAAAGCTATTTTGTATGTCTGTGACTTTAAAGCACGATTTTTCTTTTATTTTTTATCACACACAAATACAGACCGTGTTTTCGCGGATGACAATGAGAGTAATGTTACGTACAAACTACTATGACGGCGATTCATTTGTGCATTCCTGATGCTTTGAAAGGTACACCGGGAATGCTGCAATTCGCGGAATTGCAATTTGGGGTGGGCTGATGACTGCGTACCTGAAATCACAACGGTACGATTGACAGATTCAAGTAATTCTAGATATTACGTCAGGCATTATGGAGATGTAGATGCAATGGTCATGTTTATGGCTTGAGAATCATCGTCACCATACAGACGTTTACATCAGTGTAATGTTACTTCAAATCAGCCATTTTAAAGAATTAGAATATTACGTCAGACTTAACCATTTAAAAGAGTTAGATCATTTTTCTACATTTGAATAATCTTAATTAATACGTAAATTTCCTGAACTTTCACACATTTATTATATTTTTTGTATAAATTAGATTTCATTTTTAATATTTTGTGTTCACATACATTGTGTATTCGCACACACACACATATATTGTATATGTAAAATTCAAAAACATAAACGATGAAATAGCAGTAATTTTATTTTAGATTAAGTTTTCATATTAAGCAAGGTTACTTATCAATGTACGTTACGTGTATTCTAAATCCTTCTAAAGATCAGAGTAGTAAGTTATAAAAGTTAAATTGAAATTACTTGATAAATATTTGATAATATCTCGGAAAAATTGGAATGCATTACTTTTCCAAAATGTAATCGTGTACATATAGCAAACTATTATTACTACTGCAATCGAACCCTCAGGAACTCGATCTGAGACTTCCAACCAGATTTACAAGTGGGTGCGTTTTTCTTTAATGTGCACTTACCGTAAAAGGAAGATACTTTTAAAGCAGCAAGGATCATACATCATTAAAACTGCATCCTACAAAGGTGCATGCAATGAACGACTTTGCTGAAGTATCTAAAAAAATCAATCAGCTATATAGATTTAAGAATAATTTTGTTGAACTATCAAAATAATTATGTAGAAAGTAATTGTTGAAATGTCAAAACTTTTTGCGACATTATTTATTATGCTTAAGATTCCTACGTAATTATTTTGATCCAATAACATTATTTTCAGACATCTGTATCTCTACACTAAAAAAAAATTTACTCAATTCCATGTTAATATTGTTTTCAATACTAACATTCTAAACATTTATTTACAATAAATAAATATTTATTCAATAAAAAATGGTAATAAAATCAAATTAATGGTTCTCATGTCAAATAGAAATATATGTTTACATTTAGTAAATATTTAGTTAGTCTTATTCTTTCCATATAGGATATTCAACGTACGTAGAAAATATTTATTTAAAAAATGTTAGTTTTTATTGATCGCTAAAAGAGATAATTAACATTTCATTTAGCATCTTCAATCGTTCATTTGTCAAGAGTCGGAGGAAAGGTTGACGTCTCGCCGTTGACGATGCTCATATCCATTCATGAGGCGTTTTTGTTACGGAGAAATTTCACCGGTGTAAATTAGCAATTTGTAAAGCTGTAATTTCTGCGAGGTTTGTCGTTAGTCAAATACCGAAGCGTTAAAGAGTTCTTAATTGTGCCGCCGCCGCCGGTGTGCTCGCCCGCGGCGCAAATACGACGAGAGACAAAACGACAATTTTTATGAGCGCACCCGTACACGCTCGTGCGCACTTCAGATCTTATGGAATTCCGGAAACCGGTTTCGCAAAATGTGCCGTGCGTATATGCGCTCGTAACGCGTAGTGTCCCTGCGCCTAATATGGAAAGGGTTTTGTCGCGGAAACTTTGTAGTTTCGATGGGAAACAATAAAGGCGAAGGTATGCTCGTCTCGTTAGAAAACAGAAATCAGATAAGAAATAAGTATTCAATGAATGACTTGCCAGAACTTGCAAGGTCAGGCTCAATGCATGATACTTTAGAGATCACACACGAATCACTCTTTGTGTGTGATTTGATAACTCAGTATCTACGTTCTATGCAAACAGACTTCTATTTTTGAACTAAGTGCAGCATATCCACACACATTATATTATGGAAAATTATTTTATTCTAACTCGAGCGTAACTTGTCGATCAAAATTCTACTCTTACAGTTAGATGGAGAAACATCCTGCAGCTTCCCGACATTTATCTGCAAAGTGAAATGTATCCCAAAATACACATCTCAAGGGAAGCCGGATGGTGCTGGCTGGTACTACTCAAGATATCAGGCTGTAAGATACAGCGATATATTATTATCTAACAAGAGTATATAGGAAATTATTCTGTAATGAACGTTGCATGTCTAATGAGAAACGCTTTATCGATTTTAAATTACAGTCTTCTTTGTATCTGCCGTCTAATATTTCGATTTAAATTCGATTCTCTCCATTAAAAACCTCGAAGAGTTTCTCATAGCGACTCTCGTTACAATTTTTTAAGTTAAGGATCTGTTGACTGGCGTGGTAATTTCATGAGGCAAATTGGATTATTAAAAATTCGGCGTACGCATCTCTTGCGATGACACGTTCGGTTATACACCGTAACTGTAAATCGGTCACGATGTAATGAAACTTACATGTGCG